AGGCACGCCAGAAACCTCTGATTGTGGGTTCGAATCCCGGTTCGCCCCGATTATGTTTCTAGGTTTGTCAGCACCATACCCGTGCTCGTGGGTTTCACCGACGTGGTAAATGTCTGAGACCTGCATCACTTCGGGCTTTACTCCCACATTATGCTGACACGTCGTGATATGACTGGAATACTGTTAAAAGCGGCGTTAAACCCAACTCACTCACTCACTCTTAAAACCATAAAACAAGATTTTAACAAAGAAAACGCTGCTGCTCCAATGACTAAGTTGTTCGCTCATTAGCCAAGTGTTTTAATAACGCTAATAGGTGTTCGATGACGATATGTTTCATGTCACTTTGATGTATACCTTTGTGTTTTTGAAAGAAAATTAGTTTTGAACAATGGAAACTAGGCTGACAAAAGAGCCAACACTAAAAGGGTCACTGCATCTGGTAATGAAAGGCAGTCCCACTAAATATGTCTCAGATGATGACAGTTCAACTAAAGAGGACACATCCTGACAACCAAATCAGTCACTGAAGTCGTGACAGATGATGTGAATGTTGCCGTGTGTGATAACGAAATTAATGACGGAAAGGACACTGTGCACGTGGTCAACATTTCAAATATAATTGATTGGCATGGTGTTCTCCAGCACGTGGACATGAGGGTGAAGGTTTGTATGATTGATGTAACCAGAAGATTAAGTTACAACATTACTACACTGTCACAGCAAACCCGAACACCACATAGATGTAATGTGAAGAAGTCCCTCCAGCTGATTACCGCGCCTGTTTACAGATGTATCCGCGGAATGCTGCAATCCTATAACACAGTGGAAGTGGACTGGTGAGTGTTTAATCCTATAACACAGTGGAAGTGGACTGGTGAGTGTTTAATCCTATAACACAGTGGAAGTGGACTGGTGAGTGTTTAATCCTATAATACAGTGGAAGTGGACTGGTGAGTGTTTAATCCTATAACACAGTGGAAGTGGACTGGTGAGTGTTTAATCCTATAACACAGTGGAAGTGGACTGGTGAGTGTTTAATCCTATAACACAGTGGAAGTGGACTGGTGAGTGTTTAATCCTATAACACAGTGGAAGTGGACTGGTGAGTGTTTAATCCTATAACACAGTGGAAGTGGACTGGTGAGTGTTTAATCCTATAACACAGTGGAAGTGGACTGGTGAGTGTTTAATCCTATAACACAGTGGAAGTGGACTGGTGAGTTTTTAATCCTATAACACAGTGGAAGTGGACTGGTGAGTGTTTAATCCTATAACACAGTGGAAGTGGACTGGTGAGTGTTTAATCCTATAACACAGTGGAAGTGGACTGGTGAGTGTTTAATCCTATAACACAGTGGAAGTGGACTGGTGAGTGTTTAATCCTATAACACAGTGGAAGTGGACTGGTGAGTGTTTAATCCTATAATACAGTGGAAGTGGACTGGTGAGTGTTTAATCCTATAACACAGTGGAAGTGGACTGGTTAGTGTTTAATCCTATAACACAGTGGAAGTGGACTGGTGAGTGTTTCTGGCTTTACCGAATGCTATTGTGTATGTTAACAATGGTGAGTGCTTTGTGTAATTATCTAATACCAGTGGAAGAAAGTGCCCGACACTCGTCTCTACGATGTTTAGCATGTCATTAACAACAAATTTCATGGCAAATTCAGAAATACATTTTAATATCCCACACTGTAAATGTAACAACTATAGATAACTCAACAATAAAATAAATATGAAATGACTACTAAACACATATCAAGCTTAACATGACAGGTTAAACTTCCATGGAACTCATGTACTTGTGATGGCGGAGAAATACCCTTGTAAATATCTTTGGTCTTTGGTACGTTGCAACATAATTTATTACGTAAATACCTCCTCTCCAAAACCATCAGAGTTCTCCAACCAAATAGGTAACATAATATTCTCTTACCTTGGTATATCACCCTTGATGAACTTGACATTTGTATGTCTGTGTTTTTTATATGAAGAAACATACAATTTTGTCGAAAACAATGTGATAAATAATGATATGTAACGCTTTTAATTGAATTGCTAACTATAATCTTCACGAAACAGGCAACACCGGGGCATATGTGAATTGATGGCGCAGCTTATGTTTCTTGAAGTTTTGAGATTAGCAAACTCCGGCAGTTGTACACATATTCTGTATATAAGACGCACTCCTCGCTATACCACATTAATGCAGTGACGTCTCAGTGACCAACGTCGGTCCACCGCCGCGTTGAACAGTATTTCGGGTATCTCACGGCGTGTCATCTCAATGGGGGACGAAATCCCGGGTGGACCCAGGTCTTAAACGTTCACCAGATGTAACCTGCGAGTATGATGGTGCCAAACCTAGACACATGACCCATCACCATGGGTTACTGGGGCGCCGCATTAGGGACACAACTCACAGCGAGCCACGACGCCCGACCCGACTGGGCCCTTGTGCCCCCATGCCGAAGCATGATAATCTGTTTGTAACAAAATGGGACATTCATAAAAGTTACTGATATATCAGAGAGATACGCAAAAGTGAAACAAAGGTTTTTCCTTTTATTTCACCGGGAGTATATATCATGTGGTGACAAAAAACAAATATTTGGGGGCAATACGATCCAGTCGTCTGCATCGTTTCAGCATCGCTTATACATGGGATGGTGCATGGTAGAGTTTCTGCTACACATCAGAAGTAATGAACAGAACGAATATGGTGAGACCCTGTGGCGTGTTGCAGAAGGCGATCTCAGGAGCCGACCGTTGTCCCAGGAAAATCTTGAAAAAAATAATGATGTCTGCCACAAAAATTACATTGTTGCAATTCATCTTTTCGAAACAATATTTAGGCTGAACAGTTTTAATTAAAATATATATGGTTTTGCAGCTGTAGCTGAAAAAATATCTGGTATCTGTGAAACGTTCATAGGGTTTTGTGGGAAATTTCCGCAATTGAAAACATTTAACAAATTTCGTAGCATTGTTGATGAATTTGCTTTCGTTGTTTCAAATTGAAAACATTAATATTAACCTCAGCCTTAATAGTACAAGATGCCTGAGCTGTGATCTGATGACCTATTCCTAATACAACAAGACGATGCCCGACCTCCGACTCTGGACGCTAGGGTATACTAGACACGGAATCACTACAGGTGACACCCAGTGCATGAGTAAACGCACAGAAATCAAAACCTAAAATGTGTTATGAACTCCGTGATCTCAGTTAGGACAACGTAAGTTTGTATGAACAAATATGAAGATAATATGATATAACACGTACAAAGAAGAAACATTTCACACTATTTGCCATGTGTAACTACTTACAAATATGTATTCCCCAAATGCATTATCCTAGCGAGCAATTCAACACTGACATAAGGTGAATCTTTATACTTTATTAATCCAACACCATTGGCTTGTGCGCTTGTATGTCAAATGACAAAACGAAAGGAAACCTAGGATGTCACAGGTAATAGCTGAGTTAAAGCCCTAGGTTGTCACAGAAAATAGCGATATTGGAAACCTAGGTTATTACAGGTAATATCGATATTTGAAAAACCTAGGTTGTCACAGGTAATATCGATATTGAAAACCTCTGTTGTCACATGTAATATCGATATTGAAAACCTCTGTCGTCACATGTTATAGCGATATTGGAAACCTAGGTTGTGACTGGTAATAGCGTTATAGGAAAATTTAGGTTGTCACAGGTAAAAGCGACTGTATACACACAGTGAGTGTGAAAATATACGCTGCCAAAATAACGAGTTTGAAAACGTTGCAAAGAAACAAAACAGATTTCCAAACTAACAACGAGTGATAGATAAAAAATGACAAAGTTCAGCGTGTGAAAACATGTGACGTCGTGAAGGAGATAAATACACTGTCTGACTCAGGACATGCGCACATGTTGCTTATTATAACATTTTGAACATCATCTGTTTTTGTAATGACATGGTTGGAAAGTCAACGCCTAGGTGTTTATACTTGTGACTTATCACAGAAATACAAACCAAATGAAGCCACCGGAATCATTGTTCACTCCAAATGATGCAACAATCAGGAATTGAGATGACGCTATATTCAGGACGATGCGACACAGTGAAGGCCACAATGCATATGTCAAATCATTGCACACTGACACAAAGCAACCTCTGCCCTCTAAGTAACAACCGTTTTGAGCGAATTGGAAGATCAGAGTCACTGCAGAGACTCCTGCACGTTTATACGCCACTCTAAGTCCAGGACATAGTTCTCTCTCAAGCTGGTGGAGACAGACGACAAATTCGGAGTTCGGTGAGACTCTAGGTTAATTTGACCGAGGCATCCTTGGGTCGTCGGTGAGCCGATATCTAACCTGCTGGGCACGAGTTCAACATCATCTCTCCAAGACGTTTATACATTATATAGTTGTGTAAGAAATGTAATACACACGTGAGCAAGGAGCTATGTATCGTCGGTCGGCACAGAGCAACAGTTTAAAACAGCTTTCAACATTTTGTGGAATTAGTGGATTAAGTGGAAAAGTGATTCACCATTACATAAAAGGAAATATCACATGGTGCGTATAATACACAAATAGTATCATATTGATGGGGTAATGAAAACAATATTTGTTTCATGTTTACATGGCTTGAGTAACACGATACAACATACAATATAGAACATGTTAGGGTGGCACTTAATGGTTAAACAATAGCCTATCACAAACGGCTTGGAAATCTCAAAACTACACATATATGTCGTTTTGAATCACTACATATTAGAAAACTATGTGCTTAATAAACACTTTTCAATACCTTACACGTTAATATATATTGAAGGGAGATATCACCAGTCTCCGGTGTTCCTTTCGGATACATAGCGCTGTCAACCGTGTCACAGATGAACTTGTTATACACATAGTAGAGTAAAAATAATTATTCCCTCATCGGAATCGCCAATGACCCCAACCCCAACCCCCCCCCCCCCCCCCCCCCCCCCCCCATTCCATACTCAGAAAAGTAAAATTACTATGTTAGTGTATCAGTGATACTTATGTATGAAAATAGCTTGCAAATAATCAGATACGTTTCAATACAAAGACAAACGTTGGTGGAGCTACCGGGAAATGAAAAAAACCCCGATTTATTGGAATATCAAAGTATGTTAATTTAGTGAGCCGTAGTTTGAGGAGTTTTTCCTATCTCTTGTAAAAATATTACATATTTCTATGCAGGAAACAAGTTAATAAAACTAATTTAGTTTATATAATTACTTTTGAGAGAATTTCACTTAAGTTCTGTCCACCACCTCTTGACCCATGGCGAACACATTCCACGTAGTACACTCATGATACACATTTCACAATGAATAAACACAAACCACACGTCAAACTAGGAAATAATGAAAACATTTCGGGGTATATGTCCTGCTATATGGCATCTGTAAAGCATCATGTAAAGTCAGGGTGGAACATATACATAGTCAGGTGACACGGTCGCCATTTTAAAAGCAGGCATGTGACATTAATGTAACCTCACATCATGTACGCATCACCCCTGAATCAACTACATACTGAGCAAAGAGTGACATCCTGTGTACGATCCCGTACATGGGACAACGGTGGATGAAGTAGCCGCAATCACCGTCACCGGAAGTCCATGGATACGAAGACGTTAAACATCTGTACACTTCCGGTTTAGACACGGGGACCATTTTACACGACGTGCAACCCTACAATTCTGCAACAGAATACTATGTACCCTGGATAAGAATACGATTCAACGTTTGATAGGGGTATCTATATATACACTGCTATCAGCATCTACTCATGTACAACATGTAAATAGTCGGAAGTGTCTCTGGGGCTCTATTATAAGATTTGTGGCATATCTTATTCGGGCACATTTTTCAATATTAATAATTGTGTGTCGGTTTAAATTCCAATCTGTACTTTCTGTATATCCTTGAAAAAAAGTAGACATTTCTGTCTTGTCTTATTGCAAAGATGCTGTCAAATTTCTTTTTTCCTTATCGCAGCTCGCTATCAACGTAGGTCAAGGTCACGCGCTGTATTCACGAGACGCCATTTTGAAATAACATAGGTGTATTCTCCTCCAATTCTTCCGGAATACCTGACAAATTAGCAACGTCATTTCCATCAAGTGAACATTGCTTTTCTCCGCCAGGGTTCGTCGTCCCATTTTGGATTGTCGTATCGTCATTGTCCTGCGTGACGTCACCGTTGGCGTTGTTGATGGAGGTGACCGACTGGCAAATGTCGGACATAGCAATGTTCTGTGTCAATGAACCACGATATCGGGTAAAGAAGGACGCAGAGGAATATGCTCTTGACGACCGACCGCTGCACAAGCTGTTGTCATTGCGCAGTCGATGCCGTACCCATTTCTTCTTTATCTCCGCTCGGACCTGATATTGGAAGTAAATGAATTCATTAAACAAGTAACACCAGTCTGATAATGCACTTTTAGAAAAGGAATAGATCTAGTAATCGTGTAGAACTGCAGGTAGTAGTCAAAAGAAGTAGTGAGTGAGTTGGGTTCAACACCGCTTTATCATGGCGTGTCACCCCGAAGTGATGCTGGTCTTAGACGTTTACCACTTTGGTGATAGTGATGACAACTAGAAGTATTCTTGTTAGCTGTAGCACTGGTAGTAATCTGGGTAGCTGTAGTAGTAGTAGTAGTAGTAGTAGTAGTAGTAGTAGTAGTAGTAGTAGTAGTAGTAGTAGTAGTTATAGCAGTAGTCTACACATACATAGCTTTAGTGGGAGTTAAGGTAGTAGTAGTAGTAGTAGCAGTAACCTATATATAGGTAGCTGTAGTAGTAGTAGTAGTATTTGAGGTAAATGTGGTAGTAGTAGTAGTTAAGGTTACAGCGGTAGCAGCAGGAGAAGTAGAAGTAATGGTTATACAAGTCAAGTTGAAGGTATTTATGTCTGCACTCTAAATTCGGATATTGTATAATTCTATTTCATGTTCGTTGTTGTAGGCTATTGTTTTAGGCTTGTAAATTGCTCTATATGTCCAGGTAATGATACGTACCTCTCCATTTAGAAAACAGAACAAAAAGGCAACGATGACTCCCTGAAAGGAGAAATACTTATCGTTGTAATGCATTCATTTGGGATGATCGTGACAGACACGTGTTCAGCGAGATTCCATCAATAATATTCATATGTATGTCAGTCGATGTTATGTACAGATACATGTATCTAAAGTAACACGTGGAAACTGATATCAGTAGTGTTCAATAAGTAGCATATATAAGTATGAACGTAAACTGACCTGAAAGGAATTAAAGATGGTCTCTGTGTAGAACTTGATAAGTTTGAGCTGCGGCGCGACTTCGTCGGGTATGATGATGAAGATGATGTAGTGGACGCCGAACAGGGGGATCAGTACCAGCGTCGACTTGGCCAGTTTCCTGGGTATACAGTCGGTACGTGACAAGTATTCATTTAATATTTAAAATGATATACAATGACAACACAGAGCATTAGAGACCGATCATTGAAATTCGGGGGATGGGACGGGGTGGGATGTGTGTGTGTGTGTGTGTGTGTGTGTGTGTGTGTGTGTGTGTGTGTGTGTGTGTGTGTGTGTGTGTGTGTGTGTGTGTGTGTGTGTGTGTATGTGTGTGTGTGTGTGTGTGTGTGTGTGTGTTTGGGGGGGGGGGGGGGGACTTATCGAAAATAATGTATTGTCCCCGAAAGTTCTTGAAAAAAATAATTTTGCTTCTGAAAAAAGTAATTGCCAGCCACAAAAATTATATTGTTGCAAGATGTTTGTCTTAAACACGCACATAGACTATCCAATGGTACGTCCTTAAGCCGTCGTCAGCAGTGTTCCGAGTAAACGTTGAAGGTCGACGTCTCAAATGGTCACGATTGGGAATATATTTGTGAGCGATAAGTGTGAGCGTATTTTTGTAACACGGAGTCACGCAAACACCCAGGCCCTTATATCGAGAGTCCACGCTTCGAAAATCGCAACCAAATGAAAGCAGAGAACTGAATGTTCCAAGACAGCATCCAGCACTGTCAAGTACTGTCAACAGTATGGAGGCTTTGTGACTATCCGCTCCTGCTTCAGTTCCCAGTAGACCACTACCCATATCTAGCACCTGCATGTGTGGAACATGTGGGATTACGAAAACAGTAACCATATTCCATATGGAAAACATAACCACACATCAATTATTGTTAATTTGAAAATTGGCTTGGCCCACTATCCAAATTTTATCCACCAACCAACAATGTTATAAAAAACGAACCCCTTTCCATAGTACGAATCCGACAAACCAATAGCATGATTAATGAATCACAATCAAGTAGTGATGATACCAGGGGTTCGAGGAAAGGTGAGTGTATCCTGCCCCACCCCACTCCATCTTTATTACCATCCCATGGTGGAATACCTATTGTTCGGGGGCTGGTAGAGTCGTCGAAAATACATAAGAATCATTTTGCAGTCAGCAAACCTGAGTGTAGGATTGAAGATGATAGGACACGAAACTACAAACAGCGTCTTTCTTAATGATGAGTGTGGTGACGGCCCTCCTACCTGTAGCGGCGGGGGTCGCGGGCGTTGTTGGCCATCAGCTTTGTGAACAGGACCCGGATGATGTTGATGAAGAAGAAGAAATTCACCTATGAGACGAGAATCAATAGAAAGAGTAAGAAAGCTGTCAATCAAATGTCTCCCGTTCACAAACACATAATGATGGCTGACATAAGCGTGTTAATTATGAGGTATTGCCAGTAATCAGTGACATGATGAGTAATGTTTCCACGACAGGGAAAAGGTTCACTGTATCGCACTGTGTTATGTCCTGATTTGTATCGAAACGAAAATGTCGAGCGATCCAATTTTTTCCTCTTATCATAAAATAATGTATGCTTATGTAACTACCCATGAAACCGCTCTTAAATTTAGTTTTACGGATTGACCGACTGCTAAAGTTTTAGATACTTGGAAACGTTTTAAAAAAATATTTCTTCATTGTTGCTTTAAGAAATAGATAAATATACAACTACAAACGGCAAAAACCTTCACAAAATTCCAAACAGATTGATAACACGTCTAATTACTGCGAAAATCCTTTTTAATCTGATGTCAAACAATACGTAAATCATAAAATTCAATGTCAACACTGCGATAGTCGTTGTCCTATTATATCTCTGTGGAACAAGGGCCAGTCAAGAGAACGGCTACAGCAGTGACGTAGGTATTATTTTATGGGTTTTGTATGTTTATGTGTCGTCGTACTCCGACGGCTTGGACTCTTTCTGGTTTGCCTGATCCCGACTCCAACATCTTTATGTTATTGCTACCGTATTTCTGACTACGACGTTATGCAGCATTCCCTCAGCTTTTTGGATTCGATTGATCATATGAAATGTATCCCATATCGACTTCAAACAGCGTACATGAAGACCTAGTGTTTGCACCTTCGTTGGTGGTACTGATAGACAATACGGTATACGTTTTCAAGTGATTCGATTTTAAAATGTTGCAGCAGTTTAGTTGCCTTTGCAGAAACATGCCATCAGCTAAGGTCTCAAGAATATAAGATCACTCTTGATGAAACTTTGGATAAAATAGAAATCGCTATTGGAAAACAGAATCTCAGACGTTTTCATCAAGTACCTGAGGATTCGTAAGTCCGAATTTACTTTTAGTTCGCAGAATTTGCGCTTTTGAAACCCGAAAGATGAGCCTCGTGCACATCAAAATCAAATTGGGTTTGTTAACTGTTTTACGTTAATGATTATATTAAATCCTCCAATCAACTCTGTTTCAATGAAACATAAACCCTGATCTGAGACCACTGGGAGTAGCGCCATCAGTCTACCCTATCACCAGGAACAGCGCCATCAGTTTACCCTATCACTAGGAACAGCGCCATCAGTTTACACTATCAAGAGGAACCGCGCCATCAGTCTACCCTTATCAATAGGAACAGTGCCATCAGTCTACCCTATCACTAGGATTAGCGCCATCAGTCTACCCTATCACTGGGAACAGCGCCATCAGTTTACCCTATCACTAGGAACAGTGCCATCAGTCTACCCTATAACTTGGAGTAGCGCCATCAGTCTACCCTATCACTGGGAACAGCGTCTATCCTGTCACTTGGAACAGCGCCGTCTTTCTACTCTTGGGGACAACAAGAACGGGTTTAAATCTATTGTATCTTTGAGGAAACCTCACCATTTGAATGTTGAGCAAACAAACACAACGGTGTGCTACCAACTCGTCCCTACTTTGGGATCACCAGGAACAGCGCCATCAGTTTACACTATCAAGAGTAACCGCGCCATCAGTCTACCCTTATCAATAGGAACAGTGCCATCAGTCTACCCTATCACTAGGATTAGCGCCATCAGTCTACCCTATCACTGGGAACAGCGCCATCAGTTTACCCTATCACTAGGAACAGTGCCATCAGTCTACCCTATAACTTGGAGTAGCGCCATCAGTCTACCCTATCACTGGGAACAGCGTCTATCCTGTCACTTGGAACAGCGCCGTCTTTCTACTCTTGGGGACAACAAGAACGGGTTTAAATCTATTGTATCTTTGAGGAAACCTCACCATTTGAATGTTGAGCAAACAAACACAACGGTGTGCTACCAACTCGTCCCTACTTTGGGAACACCAGGAACAGCGCCATCAGTTTACACTATCAAGAGGAACCGCGCCATCAGTCTACCCTTATCAATAGGAACAGTGCCATCAGTCTACCCTATCACTAGGATTAGCGCCATCAGTCTACCCTATCACTGGGAACAGCGCCATCAGTTTACCCTATCACTAGGAACAGTGCCATCAGTCTACCCTATAACTTGGAGTAGCGCCATCAGTCTACCCTATCACTAGGAACAGCGCAATCAGTCTACCCTATTACCAGGAACGGCGCCATCAGTTTACCCTATCACTAGGAACAGCGCCATCAGTCTACCCTATCACTAGGAACAGCGCCATCAGTTTACCATTATCATTAGGAACAGCGCCATCCGTCTACCCTATTACCAGGAACAGCGCCATCAGTTTACCCTATCACTAGGAACAGCGCCATCAGTCGACCCTATTACCAGGAACAGCGCCATCAGTTTACCCTATCACTAGGAACAGCGCCATCAGTCTACCCTATCACTGGGAACAGCGCCGTCAGTTTACCCTTTCACTAGGAACAGTGCCATCAGTCTACCCTATAACTTGGAGTAGCGCCATCAGTTTACCCTATCCCTAAAACAGCACCATCAGTTGACCCTATCACAAGGAGTAGCGCCATCAGTTTACCCTATCACCTGGAACAGCGCCATCAGTTTACCCTATGACTAGGAACAGCGCCATCAGTTTACCCTATCACTGGGAACAGCGCCGTTAGTTTACCCTATCACTGGGAACAGCGCCATCAGTTTACCCTATCACTGGAAACAGCGCCGTCAGTTTACCCTATCACTGGGAACAGCGTCTATCCTGTCACTTGGAACAGCGCCGTCATTCTACTCTTGGGGACAACAAAAACGGGTTTAAATCTATTGTATCTTTGAGGAAACCTCACCATTTGAATGTTGAGCAAACAAACTCAACGGTGTGCTACCAACTCGTCCCTACTTTCGGATACTTCGACGCTCTCACGCACTTCGCCCGTTAAATTTCTATTTTATGAGACAAGATTATGTGTTGGAAATATAAATGTATATAACAAACACACCTTTTGAAATAACAGGTAAAAGACTCACGAATATTGATGCTATTATCGGCGCCTTAAGTATCCAGTAGTAGCCGCCTTCGTGGGTGTTCCAGCATCTGTTGAGCCAAAAGAAAAACACATATCGTTTGTAATAAAATTTCTAAGAGTATGTTATTTGCCTGCCACATCTTCTTACGAAGCTCCCGAAGCTATGATCTATTACGTACTTGCAAATCGCATCGTTATTAAAAAGGGCGGCAAAAGAAAGTATAGGTCGAGTTCCATGATCGATAAAAAAATAACAAGAAGAGGTTTTGTTGTGAATTATAATATAATCTAGGGAGGGGTAACAAATGATTGATCAACCACAGTTTGAATGAAATTGTGCAATCACAGGTAATGTAAGCTCAAGGTAAACAATGGTGGGGTAAGAAATTTCATTTTCAAAAGTTGTCTGAAATGTCACCACAAAATTGTCAGACACACTACAAGCTCCAGCTGCCTCAATGCATGCTGTGATACTCCGCCTCATCGATGATGTCAGTCTTCTGACGACGTGGAGTGGAATCCGTTGCCACTCGTCTCTCAGGGTCTGCTGCAATTCTTGTCTGTTGACGGGAGGCTGATGGCGTGCTCTAATCTGTCTGTCAAGATGGTCCCACAGATGTTCAATAGGATTCATATCGGGTGAGTGGGCAGGCCAGGGCAGACCGTCAACGTTCTGCTGGTTTAGAAAGTTCCGAGTCAGTCTTGCAGTATGGGGCCTGGCATTGTCGTGTTGAAACAATGTCCCCTGCTGTCGGTTTTGTAAGAACGGAAGCACAACTGGCTGCAACACTTGTTCTCTGTACTGCACAGCGTTCAGGTTTCCCTGTATAATCACCAAATCAGTCTTCTGATCTCCATAAATACCGCCCCACACCATGACACCTCCCCCGCCGAATGGATGGACTTCTTGAATACACGCCGGAGCCAAACGTTCCCCTCTGCGTCGATAAACTCGTTCTGTGCCGTCATTTCGAAACAAGTTATATAAAGCGACTCAGTAAACAGCACTCGACGCCAATTTCTCAATTGCCAGCGTCGAACCTGACTCGCCCATCGCTGTCTCAGGCGTCGATGTTGAGCATTCAGTACCATTCCTCGGAAAGGACGATACGCTCGGATTCCAGCAGCACGAAGTCGTCGTAGTACTGTACGTTGGCTAATGGGATGTCCCAACGCTGTTGCTGCCGTCGCCGTCGCCGCTACGAATCTGTTTCGCAGGTGAATGAGCCGTATCTGACCGTCTTCCAGTAGTGTTGTCACTCGGGGTCGTCCGGTTCTAGGCCTGTCCTGTGTCCTCCCTGTCTGCCTGTACCGTTGAATCAGCCTGGCTACTGTCAATGGTGTACAACCAAACCTTCTGGCAATTTGCACGTGCAGTTTATGCCACAGGCGGGAAACCTGTTTCACCATTTCTTTGTCACCGCACGAGCGCCGTCAAAGGTGGCGCGTTCGGGTGGGTGTTTTTTGGTACCTGTTCCTGGGCAGTCATACGCCCAATACCCACTTTCCACTAGTTATCGCTGTTTTTAGGAAAATTACAAATTGCCAACCTATACTTTCTTTTGCCGCTTAGTTTATTTAAACGGAGAAAAAATATATGCCTATTTCATATGCTAGTTGCCGTATGAGAGGAAAGTAGTGTCTGTCATTTTGGACATATTTTAAATACTGAAGTGTGAGGTGGAACGTCTTCACTTACAGAGTGTCACCCAGGTAGATTCTGACGATAACCCACGGGATGACGAACAGCAGGGGCGTCACTGGAGAAAGCCAAGAAAAGAGTAAGAGTTTTAGAGTTTTACGCCACTTCTCACTGTCGTTGTCGTTTACCACTTTGGTGAAAGTACAATGTTAATATATGATGCGGTAAACCAGCGATAATGATAAGGGCGAATTCGAAACCAATCTTGCAACGAATAAGGGAGGCAACCGTGCACAGTGAATTGCGCCACTCCTCACCACTGAGCCATCCGTGCCACCAGCAAGTAAAAGAAGTTCGGGTATTTCAATTATTATTAGTGTACCTGCCTGTATTTAATGACCATTTATTGTAAAAATATCAACAATTGTTAATAAATATGATCTCATAACTTGGATAGATAGAATATTGGAAAGAATCTCACTCATTTAGTCCCCCAACACAAATGAGAGAAAATATGAATACAAACAGTTGGCTCAATAAAGATCATTCCCCCAACAAACTATGAAATGTAAACAGTTCAATCGTTCAAATTTTGTAAAGGTCACACCAGTGTGCGTGAAGGAAGTCATTGTGCACAGAAACCATCACGACGCAGACAAACTGACATATCGGAATGTCATAATCGTTTTGTAAAAACATATCCTGTTACAAACTTAAGATACTTTTAACTGAGGATGATGTGTAACAATCGGACTTGTGGTCACAGCACGGGTTCTATGTGTTTCCCAAACAATTACTTGTCCCCATTCGTCTACATCATAAACGACTTTGAAAACACCATTTCCGACGCAAATACATCTCAGGGGAGGTATATGTATTGGTCGCCAGACATTCTGATATTGACAGAATATTTACATCCGGAGCATTTGTCTTCCAGTGTGAGAGACTGAAACGTCCATGGTCACATTTAATGCAAACGCAGACTAGAAATGATCTTATTTCAACTTCGTCTTTGTATCGTCTCGTATTTTGATTCAATCTTGTTTCTGAAATGGGTTAATTTGATACCCCTGTCCAGCACACTCTGATACAAGACGGAAAACAAGGATGCAAGTTAAGAATGCGATCTAAAAGGAACTTGCATTGTGTTCACAGTGATGTATTAAAGCTGTGAATAACACATTACTGCTGGCACCTAAGGGATATCTTATTCTTTAGTGAATATGGTGAATGTACTGATGCCATCTTTAAATAATATCGATGGGATACCGGGGGTACAGGAGGCTTGTCTGTAGCCAGCGACCTGTTATGTTCCGTGTGCTCAAACCCTGACGTACACATGAACATCGATGATGTTTGGTGTATAAACAGTTATCGTAAACCCAGAATACAAAATACAATCTTAAACTGATAAGGGTCTACTTACGCCAACCGAGAAGGATGTACCACTTGAAGACCCGCTTGTGTGAGAAGACGGCTAGAATGATGAGTGTGTGGAGGTAGAGGCCCTCCACGAAGATCCACATGTAGTTGGCCCCTAGGGCATAGTGTAGGAGAGTGAACAGCAGCTTGCATTCCCAGTGCTGAAACACACATTGCAAATCAATAGCTTGCATTCCCAGTGCTGAAACACACATTGGAGAACAATAGCTTGCATTCCCAGTGCTGAAACACACATTGCAAAATAGTAGCTTGCATTCCCAGTGCTGAAACACACATTGCATAAGAACAGCTTGCATTCCAAGTGCTGAAACACACATTGGAGAACATAAGCTTGCATTCCCAGTGCTGAAACACATTGGAGAACATTAGCTTGCATTCCCAGTGCTGAAACACGCATTGGAGAACAATAGCTTGCATTCCCAGTGCTGAAACACACATTGGAGAACAATAGCTTGCATTCCCAGTGCTGAAACACACATTGCAAAACAGTAGCTTGCATTGCCAGTGCTGAAACACACATTGCATAAGAACAGCTTGCATTCCAAGTTCTGAAACACACATTTGAGAACATAAGCTTGCATTCCCAGTGCTGAAACACATTGGAGAACATTAGCTTACATTCCCAGTGCTGAAACACGCATTGGAGAACAATAGCTTGCATTCCCAGTGCTGAAACACACATTGGAGAACAATAGCTTGCATTCCCAGTGCTGAAGCACACATTGGAGAACAACAGCTTGCATTCCCAGTGCTGAAACACACATTGGAAAACAATAGCTTGCATCCCCAGTGCTGAAACACACATTGGAGAACAATAGCTTGCATTCCCAGTGCTGAAACACACATTGGAGAACAATAGCTTGCATTCCCAGTGCTGAAACACACATTGGAGAACAACAGCTTGCATTCCCAGTGCTGAAACACACATTGGAGAACAATAGCTTGCATCCCCAGTGCTGAAACACACATTGGAGAACAATAGCTTGCATTCCCAGTGTTGAAACACACATTGGAGAACAACAGCTTGCATTCCCAGTGCTGAAACACACATTGGAGAACAACAGCTTGCATTCCCAGTGCTGTAGCACACATTGGAGAACAATAGCTTGCATCCTCAGTGCTGAAGCACACATTGGAGAACAACAGCTTGCATCCCCAGTGCTGAAACACACATTGGAGAACAATAGCTTGCATCCCCAGTGCTGAAAAACACATTGGAGAACAACAGCTTGCATTCCCAGTGCTGAAACACACATTGGAGAACAACAGCTTGCATTCCCAGTGCTGAAACACACATTGGAGAACAATAGCTTGCATCCCCAGTGCTGAAACACACATTGGAGAACAACAGCTTGCATTCCCAGTGCTGAAACACACATTGGAGAACAATAGCTTGCATCCCCTGTGCTGAAACACACATTGGAGAACAACAGCTTGCATTCCCAGTGCTGTAACACACATTGGAGAACAACAGCTTGCATTCCCAGTGCTGTAACACACATTGGAGAACAACAGCTTGCATTCCCAGTGCTGAAACACACATTGGAGAACAACAGCTTGCATCCCCAGTGCTGAAACACACATTGGAGAACAACAGCTTGCATCCCCAGTGCTGAAACACACATTGGAGAACAACAGCTTGCATTCCCAGTGCTGAAACACACATTGGAGAACAACAGCTTGCATCCCCAGTGCTGAAACACACATTGGAGAACAACAGCTTGCATTCCCAGTGCTGAAACACACATTGGAGAACAACAGCTTGCATCCCCAGTGCTGAAACACACATTGGAGAACAATAGCTTGCATCCCCAGTGCTGAAACACACATTGGAGAACAACAGCTTGCATCCCCAGTGCTGAAACACACATTGGAGAACAACAGCTTGCATCCCCAGTGCTGAAACACACATTGGAGAACAAAAGCTTGCATCCCCAGTGCTGAAACACACATTGGAGAACAACAGCTTGCATCCCCAGTGCTGAAACACACATTGGAGAACAACAGCTTGCATTCCCAGTGCTGAAACACACATTGGAGAACAACAGCTTGCATTCCCAGTGCTGAAACACACATTGGAGAACAACAGCATGCATTCCCAGTGCTGAAACACACATTGGAGAACAATAGCTTGCATCCCCAGTGCTGAAACACACATTGGAGAACAACAGCTTGCATTCCCAGTGCTGAAACACACATTGGAGAACAATAGCTTGCATCCCCAGTGCTGAAACACACATTGGAGAACAACAGCTTGCATTCCCAGTGCTGTACAAGTGCAGAGGTTCTGCTGCTTATAAGTGAAGACAAAGTTTAAGACATGACTAAATCATTTGATAACGTCTTTTCCATTCATTTTTGTTTTTATTTCAAGTACCTCCGATCCTGTCCTATATATAACGTATTTTCCCCGTGCAACTCCTTTCCATAACATACTACACAGTGTCAATATGTTACAGATTGTGTTTATATCTTTCTTTCTCAATGTAACAATCATTGTCCTGTGTATGACACAGTGCACCACACAACTGTACCAACGGGTATCAGGTTTCCTCGGGATGCTATACAAACGAGTCAAATTCATTTTCTTAAGTACATGTATAAAGTGCATATGTCCCTATCTTTTTGACAAATTGCTTTACTATTTATTTCAAAATCAGCAATGGTGTTAAAGTGGAGTGAGCATTATTACGGTATTCATTGACATAACCGAAATGTCGCACGAGCAACCAAAACATAAAAAAAGTTGGAAACCATCTAAACTTTTATTGTACTTCATAAACCATGGGAGCGGACTGTCAACTAACAACAATTCCTTCCTCTGTCGTCATTGCTTGACTTCAACATCGATCTCTGACATCCATTGTAAATAACAGAGGCCATTTACACATCTCCCTCCAGCAATCTCGCCACGAAATCAGATTATGGCATTTACACGGGTTAATGGTTACATTGCATATAACACCAAATCATATCTATTTCAAATAATGTATACCTACATGCCATAACTTCTCTCTATATTCGTCAGTTGTGTATTGCAGCATTCGTGCGTCTATCGATTGCCCGGCAACTGATAGGATGTACTGAATAGCTATCTTGGATTTTCTCAGATTTCATTAAACTTTACGCCAATTTCGTTCGTAAGCTGATTCATATGTACCCCTCTTGAACTTTCTTATATACAGTACTCGGTGAACCAATTCCATCTTGTCATAAACCTGCCACAGCGAGATTCTCGTACAAGTCTACTAGATCAAAATTTTCTTTTAGTAATGTATTGGTTATTAGAGTTGTTGATGCTGTAAATACCATAAAAGGTGATTGATTATATATAATTAGTATGGCTGAGAGCGGATGATTCACTTGGCATTGAAATACTGTCCAACACGTCCAATAGTGAATGGGGCAGGAAACATGTTGATGTACAAGTATTTGGCAGGGATGTTTCATTGTATAAACTACTCATTCCTTTCATTGTGTTTAGTTGTTGAGAGCGACTCATCTACGTCATTAGCCAGTGGCGACGTACAGTCAAACAGCGTTGTGTTGAACTTTGGTATGTCGAACGGTTGTCTCGAAGTTAAACGTTGGTCCCTGCATATTCCTTCTTTATCCATAACCTCGGATAATTCGAAATATTTACGTAGGTCCCTTCAACTTCGACACAACGCTGTTTGACTGTAACTTTCAGTGTCTGCGAACGGCTTGACAAAGGTTTCATATGCTTTTCCCCTCTCGTTTTTTATGGGATTGTAATGTGGCGTATTGTGAGAATTGGTGTTTATTGCGTTCTTTATCCGTGACAGGATACTTTTGGGCATTATGTTTGTCACTGATGCGTCAGATTTGGAAATATCCTCCACATGTCCCAATTGTTGCAACCCTGGTCAAACATATTTTGAGAAAAGAGTCGCATGACGCTCTTTGAAATCTTCGTAGAAAAAGGATGCTCGAATGTACCTCCAAAGAAGTGTGAAATGAAGACACTAAAGGCTGAAGCTGCTGGAATATTGCTGGACATGAAGGGAAAGTTGACTGTTGGAAATCTGAAGTCTTTCCTCGCACTGTTTTGTCATACAGTCTTTTGACCACGCCACTCTTTAAATTTGCTTTGAAGGTCTTGCAACGTACTATAATCAAACAGTGTGTCATGTATCACGAACAAGAATTTGTTCAGAGACATAATCATTATCTTGACACAGACAGCAAATTGCCCAAGATAAGACCAGGTTTATGTGGTGTTCAGATATAGATACAACTTTATATAACATAAGAAGAGGATCTTTATCTATATGTACCATAACAATTATCAAAGCCTCGGAGTTCTGCTATATTAATCGTCTCGTGTTGGAACAACATTATATCAAAAGCACTATCTTACGATTCTGTTTATTCAACCAGAAAGTAGTATGCCTTAATGTCACACACAAGTCATTTCACACCAATCACGTTATGACTTACAAGATGCTCCAAGTTTTAATCCTCACGACAAATCTTCGGATAAATTTAACACCTGGATAATGCTTTAATAGTTCATGTACGGTTTTCTTATTGCTTGTGAAGATGATATTGAGTTGGTAATCATATAATTTCCTCTCATATAACTTTAGTAAATAATTATGGTTATAAATAATGACAAACGTGAATATGTTTTAAATTTTATAGACTCTTTATATGACCAGGTACTTGAACTGAAGATTGTAATGTAAATTTCATTTTTAATCATTATCCATGTAATGTACTTTGTGGGTTTTTATAGTTTAACATACAAGGGAAGTAACTCTGTCAAGAGGAATGAGTGCCTCATAACGACAGTACATGTTTCATACGTAGTCATTTGCATGAAACAAACCGATAGCTTCACCATGGTGGACTGTGGGACATGGAAGAGGTTGCAATGAGCCCTAATGTATAAATTACGGTGAAATTACTCTTCATCTGAAAAAGCAAAGTTTTACATGATATTAGTAACTATGTTTTAACAGCTCAGATATGTGACGTTGGAAAGATTATCCCGGTGTGTATGAGAGTGAGTGATTATTTGCAGTCTCGTCGATCCTGAACATGTTCTGAGGGTGACGCCCTGTATGGGGTTACTTACCGTCTCCTTCACCGTGGGCAACGTCCCCGCGTGGCGCGACTCCACGTCTGTTCCCGTTCCCTGCACCGTCTCTTTCAACAGACACAGCATGGCGCGCAGGGCAAATGAGACGAAGAGATTGACGTGCAAGATGTTGCGCTGACAGTGTAGTCTCCTGGAAGTCATGTATTAAACACAGTCACAATCACAATCAGTGTTGTGCATCACATATGCTAGTATACTTACATACAAATATTCATATTTAAAGGGGTAGTGAGTCGCCAAAGCCACATGTCTAAGGCCCTAGAATTTGCGCTGTAGAGTTGCGACCCTTTGTCACACCAGGATTGTTAATCGTTGGTTAAAATCGCAGAATTGGACTGATGATAAATATCCTTGGATTGTCAGCACCGTGATGTATCGGAAATACTGATCCAAGCGGCATTCAAACCAAAGTTGTCGTAGACATTTTTATATTTGAAAAAAGATACACGAGCACGAGTGATAGACAACGAAACATAACCTTGGCGTAGACCGCGCGGTGAGCGGATCTTGGCACTGTTTCAGGACATTAGAGTCACCTATTCTCCAACCACACAAAACCTATTGATTAATGTGCTCAGGAATAATCCCCTGCTGTATTAATTTGTTAAATGTTGGAGCCAAAGGTTCAAAATGGTTGCTGTATATCAAAATCAAAAGGTTAGTAGTTCTTAAACGAACGAAAGAAATGCATTGCCAAAGACGATATCGTCTTGCTCTTTGTGAAATGATGCTGGTCTAACTACATGAGTGATGCGGAGCAGGATAAATCATCTTAAGATAATAGATAAGAGGGACTAGATAAGATGTAACCCTCGTGTCTTTTGACATTCAACGTTAACTGGACATACAAATAATCCTTATTTCCCAAGAACGTTTGATATGAAGGGCCTGATTTAATATATCATGCTAAAAATATATCACTGTGTATAATTCATATACTGACATGAATAATTGTAACATAGCAAAAGTCAACCCATCAACCATCGCGACTGATAGATTAGGACGTTTTAGATAACTACTAGAGACTTCGTGATATTTATTGAATTGATGTACTTCCTACAAATGACGTGGTAGCGTTGTGCTACTACACAGATTCATGATTCATACACTTGTTACAATAAATAGCTACAGACGAATGAGAAGGGAGTTATTTCTCTTTCTGTTATAAGCTGACAAGAAAGTCTGAGACGTGTAGCACTGACACGTGTAGAACAATATGTGTAAATCTGTAAATTGAGGCACACACTATTGAACGGCGTTAATCATTTCAGACTGAGACTTATTGGATATGCCACCCTCTAATTGGGTGTTTGCGATCTTCGGTTATGCGCGTAGAAAAAATACCATTCATATTGTTATAATATTGTTTAAAATGTATATTAAAACATTGATGTATTTTCTTAATTTCCAAAATGTCAACAGATCTGCATAATAAATGTTGAGCAGAAAAGGTAACAGAATGAACATGGTTTAAAGTTATAAATATAATTCCTCAAAAGAAGTTTTGTACATCGATTACTGGAGTATTAAAGTATTCTTTAACATTCACAGCCTTACATAGCATTTTTAATTGCAAGGGATCATTGCACAATTCATGGAGATTATAAATAAGAATTTGGGTAACAGTATGGACAGAGTTCTTTTACGAAAAAAGTTTGCAAATAATTGAACAAAAGTAATATTTCGTCTTGTTCACTAAGGTATAATCCTACTTTTTAGATAACCAAACATTTAATACAATAACGAAGGGTACATGTTAATTTAATTCAACGTTCATATCAAACCTTGCATTTTCGGTAACAGTATGGTCACATTTCTTCCAAATTAAGCATATAATGAAGTGAGACTATTTTGTACATCTTTTTCCTTCTGTATAATGCCAGTGTTAAGAAAACCAAACAATTCATAAAATTTTGAATGGCAAATGTTAAGTTTATGCAACATTTCCACAAAAATCATGCAGTTTCGGTCACAGTACGGACAGAAGTGGTGACAGTATGGACACAATTCTCACAAAAAGACGTTAAAATATGGTACTTGTTGTTACCCTGCCCCACGCTCGACATTAAGGGGCTAAAACAAGGACTGGTCGGTTCGAAATGAGTACATTGTGTCTGAGTGGGGTATTCATGTTGAACTGCGGCATGGTATCTCACTGGGCTAACACTATAAATCGGCAACAGTTCTGATTAGTACAAGCAACCACACACACACACACACACACACACACACACACACACACACACACACACACACACACACACACACACACACACGTGCATGCACGTCGCTATATAAGTGCAATTATCTTTGACTCGACGTTAAACCCCATTACACCTAACCTCACCACCCAGGGATACCACTGAGCTGTCAGTTGCCCCTAATGACTATGACATGGCCAAGATATTTCAGGATCTGGTTATTCAGTTTTCGTTTGTAAGTTTACAAAGTCTTGATTACTGAGAATGTAAAAACATTTACCACTGCTTCAAGACTATAGCATTTGCGGCTACAATACGGTTATAAGTCAGATAATATAACTTTAAGTATTAGGTCTAAATGCTCAATGTCCATATTGTTACTGAATACCTCCAAGTTGTTACTAGAAGTTGGTTAAACAGTTGTTCCTATTTACTGTCCTCCTTTGTATCAAAAGAAAAAGAAAATGCCTCAGCCATTCAGTATTCTAGCAACTGTTTTCCTGTAAGATGTTTTCAAAAAGAAACTCCTGTTTTGACGGATGACAATACTGTTGGACCTAATGTGCATACTGTTACTTTGTCAGCCAGTCCACTTCGAGAATTCACTTTTATAATTGTTTTGGCATGGTAAATTAACCACTTTCATATTAAGTATGTTTTGATGGAATAATCAAAGATTGTTTCTGAATTCATGTTGTATACATATTCATTATACATTGTCCATATTGTTACTATAGATGTCCATAACTGCTACCAGTTATTGTATTGTCTTTTGCCTTTTATCTGGCTACACACTGTTAGTACATAATTGTCTGACACATTTGACATTTTAAGATAGAAATTTTAAAACAGACATTTTTTATATTCATCAGCCTCAAAAAAAGGGTGAGGTGGAACAAATAGGCTGCATGTACTTGTCAGGACTAATGCCGATTTTATAATGCTAGCCAACTGAGATACCATGCCGTAGTGTAACATGAATACCCCACTCAGACACAGTATACTGACTCGGGGCCGACCAGTCCACCTCATGCCGAGCGTCAGGAGGCAGGGTAACAACAAGTGCCGTTTTAAACGTCTTTTGGTATGACGCGGCCGGGGATCGAACCCCGGACCTTCCGTTCTCCTGGCTCTACTGCTAGATCACGGAGGCGGTCCGCATCAACACAGAACTAATTATTAATTGGTCGTTAATAGTTAGACAGTTTCATCTTGGTGACAGTAAAGGCATTTAGAAGTAATTTGTCTTTCAACTCTAATTAAAACCATTCTAAACTAAGACTAAGGTTGCATATTTGGCGATTCATCATATACAGTCTACATGTCAACTTTATCAATGAAACATTTATCATTACCCAAAAATATTTCACTTTTTCTTCCTTTGAAAATTAAACTCTTCGTGAAATGGTTTCATTTCCTCTTTGCAGCCAACGTGTGTGTCGATTGACTGTAATTTGATTTTCCCTTCCTCTCGTCTAACGTAGTGGCCGACTAAATGTGGATTGGATATCGAAGTCCAACACTGATGTTTAGGAATATTAACTGATGGGTGGAACTAACAAATATCAACTCTGTGCTGTGGCCCGAAGAAATTATAAGCATACTATATTCAACAAAATAAATAACTTAATATCGAAAGTTATTTAATAAAATAAATGCAAAATGTAACGTTAGAGATATCTGAAGAGAAGTAAAGTGGTATATCTCGTTCAACCGAATAGAAGTGAATAAAATGGTATATCTCGTTCAACCGAATAGAAGTGAGTAAAATGGTATATCTCGTTCAACCGAATAGAAACAACCGAAACTTGATTTCAGAATCTCCTGAAAGTATTCATAAAAGTTTTCAACCAATCACACTGCAGAAACACATTTTGTCATTTTATACAAATACCCATTACCTGAAGATAAGCATCAGCACAATTGCGAGGAGGAGTATCGCCAGGGATATGCTGTAGCCGAGGCGGGAGATCAGCATCACTATCTCAATGTGTTCCTGCAACAGTAACATCAATACTTACTACCTCCTTATTTCCGGCGCCATATTCAGAAAAACCGGACGAGTGTTGTTGTGAACATGTAAATATATGTAATACTACGACAGAAAACACTGTGGTTGGTAAAAGCCCAAGATGCTGAAAACACCGTAGATACTGAAACACTGTAGATACTGAAAACACCGTAGATACTGAAAACACTGCACATACTGAAAACACCGTAGATACTGAAAACACCGTAGATACTGAAAACACTGTAGATACTGAAAATACTGTAGATGCTGAAAACACTGTAGATACCGTAAACACTGAAAATGCTCAAAATACTGTAGATGCTGAAAATACTGTAGATGCTGAACACACCGTAGATACTAAAACACAGTAGATACTAAAACACCGTAGATACTGAAAACACTGAAAATGCTCAAAATACTGCAGATGCTGAAAACACCGTAGATACTGAAAACAATGCATATACTGAAAGCACTGTAGATGCTGAACACACCGTAGATACTGAAAACAATGCATATACTGAAAGCACTGTAGATGCTGAACACACCGTAGATACTGAAAACAATGCATATACTGAAAGCACTGTAGATGCTGAACACACCGTAGATACTGAAAACAATGCATATACTGAAAGCACAGTAGATATTGAAAACACTGCACATACTGAAAACACTGCATGTACTGATGAAAACACTGTACTGATGAAAACACTGCATGTACTGATGAAAACACTGCATATACTGAACACACCGTAGATACTGAAAACACTGTACTGATGAAAACACTGCATATACTGAACACACCGTAGATACTGAAAACACTGTACTGATGAAAACACTGCATGTACTGATGAAAACACTGCATATACTGAACACACCGTAGATACTGAAAACACTGTACTGATGAAAACACTGCATATACTGAACACACCGTAGATACTGAAAACACTGTACTGATGAAAACACTGTACTGATGAAAACACTGCATGTACTGATGAAAACACTGCATATACTGAAAACACTGCAGATACTGAAAACACCGTAGATACTGTGAACAATGTAGACTTTGAAAACACAATAATCAACGTGTTAAACTTAACGATGTTAAAGTTATCAGATAACTCTTTTATAAAAACAACAACTGAAAAACAGGAGAAAGATATACATGTGTACCAGTAACCATGTTAACATCCAGGGCTATTTACTTCCTGCAATCCCCGTCAGCTTGTATACTCTAAAAGTGCATGCGATAATACTTTGTTAAGCAGCTCACCTGACGGACTGCCATCTCTGCTATACATGCATACACATATGCTAATAGACGGCATTTGAAACATAAATGCCAGGAAAAGTGCTGGGATTATTCGCAAATCTGTCTTTCAACATGTTTACATTGGGGCACAAGTACTTCCTAAAAAGGAAAAGGAAACTTATGCTGGATTGCTTTTAAACACATCAAAGAGAACTCTAGAATTTACCCATTTGATATGTGAAAAGTACAGAATGTTAGTAAAAATAAATTTGAATAATGGGCTATATTTTGGTGGTTTAAATCCTATCCCTGTTCGTATATAGGAAAGGGTGATTTTACCATGTGGATTATTTGCTTGTAATGTAAGGTGTAATCTGTCACCCAATGATTTCGAAATATTTGAAATTATTCAACGTTATTTTTGTGAAAAGATTCAAGGATTGTATAGACGCACACCTTCAGTAGTTACCAGAGATTGTCTTGGTTTAATTTCTCTTCAGGCGTACATTGATCAACGAGCTCTCTTATTTCTTGGAAGACTATGTAGTAGTGACATTAACCTTGTATTTAAAAGACTATAACAGCACAGACTTGTTCAGTATCAACTCGACACAATTAAAGAAAAAGATGATAAATGTAAAATGTCACCCGCATACCACATGCACTCACTAGTAAACAAGTATGAACTCAATAATGATATAAACAACTATACTACCTATTGTCAATTTCCCGACACCCGACAGGCATGCATGGGCGAGTCGAGTGGAGTTAAAGACCAATTTGTGTTTGTGATCGGAACGTAATTTATACAGAGCTTCACTCTAGAGGAAACCTAATACGATACTCTCTTATACGATCACCTACGGTACACAGGCTATGATTACTAACAATTGAAACACCGGATCACTTCTATGATATAGCATTTCTAGATATAATCAAACATGTATTTGATATTGTAATAAGATTCAACAACAAAGAGCTGTTATTGTTAAGTCTATCATTGATTTACTAGATGTAACAATCTATCTATCTGTCTGTCTATCTGTCTGTCTGTCTGTCTATCTAATTACTTATCTATCTATCTGTCTGTCTGTCTATCTATCTATCTATCTCTCTTATTGAAAAAGTATCATAAAAGTGTTTGTAACTACATAAATATAGTAGTAGAATCTCATAAAACTGCCATAAACATTTGAAACAATCACCACTGACCATGATCCTTAGGGATGTACAGGATATCGCAGCGTCATCGCTTCCAGAGAGTAACGTTGACACCGTTTACTAAAAAGTGTAACTTAAACTGAGGTCATATCGTCGAACGAGAACGCTTGGCATGAACACCGGGTGTCTCACTGACACATATTAGAGAGACGAAAACAAGGTTTTCCAAGAAGGTCATAATGATATTATCCCCAAAATAAGATTCCATGACAAGGGAGTATGTAGCTATGTGTCAGAGCTGACAGATACGGAGCCCAGTTGCAGACCTGTAGATCATGCAATCAGGTAAATCTTAGCCAAATGGCTAGATCGGTTTCCAATTCATAACGCAGTGTCGTACGCTGTATGTTTCTGCTGTGTGGGGGCTTGATTGGGTGCATAAGAAGGAAAACACATAGCCCCTTGGCGCCGGCTCTTAAAATCGATTTTCTGTTGCTACAGGAAATGCGACAGAGGAAGTGTCTTGTTTATCCTGTTATTTCCTGTTCCTGTTTTTATCAAACTGATCACACATTTGAGGCAGTTTGTGTTGCAAACCAAATATACACGTTTCAAACGTAAAAAGGAGACGATTATACAATTTATACGACTTGTCCAGATCGGCAGATAAATGGCGCTTGATGTACCACCATATTTTAATTATACATGTGAAAGTGCGAGTAGATTATGGTTAGATACATATAAGCGCATCCATGTAAATCCGTTTATCATATGATAGGTGGGTTTCTCGGCTGTATAAAGCCAACGGATAAAAACTATATCCGTTGGGGTCATATGGGATAGAGATGCAAATATCAAAGGTCAAGTAGGGACTACTTTCACTGTTTATAAACAAACATGGTGTTGGCCTTGTCATTCGGGGATCGAGTCACATTTAACCATCGGGGATCTGTAAAACTACTGGAAAAATTGCTATAATTATCCAAAGAATAGTCTAATATTCTGAAAATCAGTGTCTAACTGTGATGTAGCTAAGGCATTTCACCAGTTTTGGCAACTTTGGAAATATAAATTGCAGAACAATTTTGCGAGGGCACCAGCCAAGCGGGATCACTTTGCATATCTGTGCTTGTAGACCTCAGCGGCTTGGAACCTTTCCAAAAAATAAACGAGATGGATTTGGTCGAAATATGTTCCAATTTTTACCTTATTTTGTTTTGTCGCTGTGTGTGCATCTGACTGCACTTCTTAACTTTTTGACAGGACTGTCAACAGCGTCTGAATGTGTCCATGACGTTTCATAGACTAAGGTAAGAGTTGCTTCCATTTGATAAAGGGCAGTTACTCTATTGGACAGACCGATGGATTGCCGCGAAAAGCAAGTAAAAACAATTTGTGTAGGCAATATGTTGTTTTGCATATATGTAGTTACACCACTGAAAAGAAACAGGTTTCCGTTGAAACCAATTGGCTACTGTCACTGTCCGACTGACCATCTGACGGTAATATATATATATATATTAATGCACACATTCCAGGAAAACATGCAATATTTAGGTAATGTTGGTGAGGTATGGAAAGAGATTTTCGAGCAGAGAATTGAAGAATGACATTATATGATAAAGAGGTTATCACGCTTGAGTGTTTGGGAATGGTAAGTATCCTGTAGTAGGAATAAACACTATGTATTTAGCTCGCCGAGGTTCGCTAAACACTATGTTTATTCCTAATACAGGATATTTACCATCCCCAAACACTCGCGTAACCTCTATGAAACTACCTTGATGAGTGGATCCACTTGTTTGAGCGGTCCAGGCACACAGGCGGTGTAGTTGCTCCACGTCTTGTTCTCCTTCGGGTTGAACCACCAGGACCCGTCCTCCATGCAACGCCGGGTGGCGAATGCTGACAACACAACATGTTCATCAAACACTTTACAACACTGGACAAAGGTCTGCGTACCTCTTTCGCAATGCAATCCTTGAACTACAAGCATGTGTTCAGAGAAACAAAGATCCGAGCGTCGTACCACATCAAACAATCCTTTTCTAATATAAATACAACTGATAAACAGCCCATGTTACGTTTGGTGGATTATTTTCATTTTTGTGTAACGGATGATCCGCTTCTGTGTAAAAAAACTAATATACATTTTAAACAAACAATATCTAGTCATTGTTTTGATGTTGATGGCTTCTTGTAGTTTCCTGATCTTGAAGTCTTTGAGGTTGGTGGTGTGGGCTGTGACTCTCTCCCACTGAATGCTATGGCTTGGGTTGTCACGGATGTGGTCGAATAGAGCTGATTTAGAGTCATTTTTGGAGACTGAGCTTTGATATTCTTTTATTCGGGTTTTGGGGGGCCTAGATGTTTCACACTCTGTATATCACCTGCCTGATAACGGTGTCAGAACCTACACCGAAACGTCGCTCTTAATTGTAATAAACATGTTGTTCATCCATGAATTCTTATCCTTACTTAGTACTCCAACTTCTAAATGCCCATCAAAGAAGTCAAAATATCGCAGTTATTGGTTTCAGTCTGGAAAAGACAAACAAGTGGTACTCAGCAGGTTCAGCTATGTCAACACCATCAGTCGGGCTATAGATGATACGTACCCGATCTTCAGTAACCTACATAGGATGAACATAAAGTGTAGTGAAACGCCAAAAGTCCGAGAAGTGGCGTTCCAATTGAAAATAACCCAGCATGAACGAGTAGGCGTTCACACTGCCCAGAGGTCAGGGTTCCTAATAAGTGGGGTTCAGACAAGGGGTTGATTGTATACATTTGGGGTCATGGGTTTCCATCGAAATGTTTAGAACAGAAGAGAACAGATTGGAGATACGTAAGAATCGATCTAGATCATCCCTACCTACCCGTGGTGATGAAGTTATTGACGTAGTCAGCACAAGGTTGCCTAGCAACAGTTCCTGCAGGTGTGTAAGGCCAGCACATGATTTTGTCAAACGTCATGTTGCAGTGGATGCCTGAAACACACATGTTAACACATATTAACATATGAACAGTGTACAGATTAACACCATCATTGATAAGTTGTATTTGTGTAATAAGATTGACTTCACTCTAATGTTAGAGTTCGGTTATACCACGGCGTCCCAGCTTAAAGTGACGACACATCGTCGACGCCGACAACTTTGGTGAAAGCATCCAAGTTCTTCATCCCTCACTCACTCACTTACTCACTCACTCACTCACTCACCTCTACTTCCATTCAGCCTCCCATCAACTAACTCACACACACTCACACACACACACATACACACACACACACATAAACACACACACATACACACACACATACACATACACTTCCAGCTCACACACTCACCATCCTGCTAATACCATCACATTGCATTCACTCACCTGTTGAAGGGACGCTCGTGTTGGCAATCCGCTTCTGGCAGGTGATATTGGCCATGACCAGCCTAAACCGCTGCTTGCTAGCTGGGTCATCCTGGACAGAAAAGGGACATTTAAAATACACATATACATGGAAACACAGTGAGGGACCCTGGTACTTGATCGTATCACCAGAAGGCATGAGTGACGCTGTCGGGTAGACAATTATATAAAAGTTACTCTTTTGACTGTACATTATTGATTCTGCTCTAAGTTTATATTCGTATTCATATGCGACCTCTGAAACGTCTGTTCGAAGAATAACCATAATGATCTGAAATGGAATCCGCATACATGTTTTCTTACTCACAATGGTTATCAAAAAATAGTTAACTCATATTCTGAACACAGCTAGTCTCGAGCTTCAATGTAAATGATTTCCATTCAAACTAAAGTTTCTGATTGATCCTCCCAACGCAGAACAGTCATCTCACAGATACCTATTTATTGTCAAGAGTAGTTCTAATCCTAGATGTCTCTATTCGGCATTCCACACCAGCTTCTAACATTACAAAATGCATGGTACTCGATTACCGTAAAGTTTCTTGAAAGGTAAGAGTGAGTGAGTATGGTTTTACGCCGCTTTTAGCAATATTCCAGCAATATCACGGCGGGGGACACCAGAAATGGGCTTCACACATTGTACCCATGTCGGGAATCGAACCCGGGTCTTCGGCGTGACGAGCGAACGCTTTAACCACTAGGCTACCCGACCGCCCCTGATAGGTAAGAACAATCACAGTTGCACATCGAATTTTAAGTTTAATTCGTAAAGAACATTAAATGATATTTACCTTTGTAAGTCCGCAACAAACATTAATGCTTACCATTGTCGCTGTCATGGTAACAGAGTTTGGGAGTGTCAAGACGAAAAGAAGAACTGAACTGCATAAAATAGAGGATGGTAGGAAGATGGCCATATTCATCTCAGTGGGGTTCAATCAGGCACACAGCTCAGCGAGTTATATGGGTCACGCACAATACTATTCTATCTGATCCTCTTCGTGCGAAGTTTTCATACATCAAATAAATCACATTACTGACAATAAACTATAAACAATTCATGAATCTGTGACCGGAAAAGGGAATTTCCTAATCCCAAGATAGTTCACACAATCCAGGGGAGGCTATAACTTCCGGTTTAATGAAGTGCGAGAGCCTCGTAATCACAGAAAGTAGATATTGAGTTTCCCCTAGACCTTTTGGTATTTCCAGGCGATGTTGACATCTAATCCTGTACTTGTGATCAAGGAGCCAACAGATAATAGGGCGATGGCATTCTGTGGAAGATAACAAAAAAGATGTCGGCATTATGTACCTGGCGTTACACAACAAACCTGACACTGTTCTGTACACATTAACTAGGGAGATAGTTCTATGGTTATACAACTTCTTTTTTACAACGAGTGCGACGTTTCGGTGTAAATTACTAACACCGTTATCAAGCAGAATTATCTCTTTTGTTCATCACACCAACTTCTCAATGCCACAAAAATGATACTTAATTATCTAAGTATTTACAACTAAAGGTAGTCTCTAACATCATTTTCATCACACAAGTTACAGATTCGTTCATGAATTGGATGTCATTCCATCTTCCTGTTTCATACTGCAGGCGGTGGCATGATAATCGAAAATACAAATAGTGTTAAAGCCAATTTGAATAAACGATAAATAATGCTTTTGTGAGAGTTTGAAATTTCACTACGAAGATATTGCCGGTAATTGTGAGGGAGTGTTCGAGAAACAGACGTGTATTTTAACAAGACAGGTGATATAAAGCTCTGTAAAAGTATAGCTCAGTCCAGTATAACCATTGCATCTTAAGCAAAATAGAATATGAAATATGTTACAACTTTGTCCATTTACCAAGTTAGAAAATGAACCGTTTGGCAGTTTAGCGTCAGGATATTATGTCAGTGCACCTTGCACCGTACTTAGCTGAGAATATCTCATGCAGATATTTAACAGTGGGATGACAAGCTAAATAACAACGTTTGACCACCTATGTTCACCTATGTTCACTTGTGTCGTTCATCAAAGCATTTCAAGTCAAATGATGTTTCATCAGAGTCCGTTCGAGTGTTTGTGCATTGCGATATGTCCTTTTCAAAATACACATTCGTGTTAATGTATCCTATGAAGGTATATAGATGATTTGTGGTACTGTTGAACACATTTAGCAACAGTAATCACACAGTGTGTCGTATTTAAAGAGTTAGATACGGTGGTCTTACGTGATGGAGAGATATTCATAATGGCTTAACGAGGCATAACGATTCGGGTTAGAGTTAAAACATGCGTTTAAAAAGAACCACTCCATATCCTCAGCAGATGCAGCAAGCGTCAACACAATCACATCGCTTCACAACAAATTGTGACTTTGATTACAGACCGTTTACCTAGAAGTTCGTCTTCGTGAGATGAGAACACAGACTCGTGATTCATTAAATGTCGTTATCAAAGTGTTGATGTGAGTAACGAGGACTTTATGAAGTTCCAAAGATAGAGTAAACAGTGCAACCCACAACATTAGTACTTTTCATACACGACGAAAACAAGTTAACAATGCGTTTCCGAAACGATATATTCAGCATGCTTTATCTTCTGTCATGTTCAATCAATGATGTCATCGTTTGCAAATACGCTCTTGATTTAATGACATCTCCTCAGTGACATTTCCATCAGATAATGAAAAAAATAAACAAACGTCAACAGTTATCTTGGTTATATACATCAACAAAGCATTAATGATGAATAGACAATAAGCTTGAAGAGAACAGTTCAGAACCTCTGTGTAGTATTTGGAGAAACATAGAAGGAAATTTAGTGTTCATATGGTGACATGCGTCGCGTCTTAAAAGAAAAACACCAAACTATTCCAATCTTATTTTCAATTTGCTGAAGCATATGGACATGAATTTCATATTTGTTCGTCGTATGTGTGAGTCTATACGCAAACCTCAGCAACATCATAAAGGGGGACTCTCTATATAGGGATTAAGCATAGATTATTCCTTGTGTATCACCTATAGCTCAAACATACTGCTTAATGACGTTTTGGTGAGCTATACATTCAAACTGAAAAATCATTTGTGGCTTTGAACGTACACCATGTTGGAGAGACATGTAGGACTTCTTCACTGATATAATACATGTAACATTTGGGGGTATGGCATTTAGTTATCCCCATGGGCACCAATTCCTCTTCTTGTCATTCAGTGTGTTTCACCTGCTTCATTGTATACTCACACATATATCATTTAGTGTGTTTCACCTGCTTCACTGTATACTCACACATATATCATTCAGTGTGTTTCACCTGCTTCACTGTATACTCATACATATATCATTTAGTGTGTTTCACCTGCTTCACTGTATACTCACACATATAACATTCAGTGTGTTTCACCTGTTTCTCTGTATACTCACACATATATCATTCAGTGTGTTTCACCTGCTTCATTGTATACTCACACATATATCAATCAGTGTCTTTCACCTGCTTCACTGTATACTCACACATATATCATTCAGTGTGTTTCACCTGTTTCTCAGTATACTCACACATATATCATTCAGTGTGTTTCACCTGCTTCACTGTATACTCACACATATATCATTCAGTGTGTTTCACCTGTTTCACTGTATACTCACACATATATCATTCAGTGTGTTTCACCTGCTTCACTGTATACTCACACATATATCATTCAGTGTGTTTCACCTGCTTCACTGTATACTCACACATATATCATTCAGTGTGTTTCACCTGCTTCACTGTATACTCACACATATAACATTCAGTGTGTTTCACCTGCTTCACTGTATACTCATACATATATCATTCAGTGTGTTTCACCTGCTTCACTGTATACTCACACACATATTATTCAGTGTGTTTCACCTGCTTCATTGTATACTCACACATATAACATTCAGTGTGTTTCACCTGCTTCACTGTATACTCACACATATATCATTCAGTGTGTTTCACCTGCTTCACTGTATACTCACACATATATCATTCAGTGTGTTTCACCTGCTTCACTGTATACTCATACATATATCATTTAGTGTGTTTCACCTGCTTCACTGTATACTCACACATATATCATTCAGTGTGTTTCACCTGCTTCACTGTATACTCACACATATATCATTCAGTGTGTTTCACCTGCTTCACTGTATACTCATACATATATCATTCAGTGTGTTTCACCTGCTTCACTGTATACTCACACATATAACATTCAGTGTGTTTCACCTGCTTCATTGTATAATTAAACATATATCATTCAGTGTGTTTCACCTGCTTCATTGTTTAATTAAACATATATCATTCAGTGTGTTTCACCTGCATCGCTGTATAATCAAACACACATACATGTTTCTGTTTTATTTGCTTCACTGTTTGATTAAACATATATTGTAAGGTTTGGTCTCACCTGCTTCACTGTATAATCAAACAAACATTATTCTTTATGTCTTAGACTTAGAGATTTTGTTATCCTTGAGGTCACCGGTTTTTGAGTCAGGTGTGGAGAGTGAACGATTCATTTAAGCATTTCTCTGGCGGGGCAACCAGTATGGGCTTCACCCATTGTACCGATGTTGAGAATCAAATTCGGGGATTAGACGTACTAAGCATATGCTCTAACCACCAGGATACCCAACCACCCCGAACTCAGTTATTGTTGTCCAAGCATACGTATTTTACTGGTCTGGTAAAACCCGCTCGTAGGTATAAAGTGCGGATCATATTCAGGACGAATTTCGGATTCGAACCCGCTATCATTGGATCCCAAGCTCACCGGAAGAAGCGATGCTTAAGAGGTTGTATTATTATTATTAACACTGCTGTAATTTACGTTAATATGTGAGGTTATTAGCTTTTACACAAAACATTGATAATGTTTTTTGGGGACATATTTTCTGAAAAAGGACATGTTGGAAAGGTAACACACTCTGTATCCAAACATTCAAAAATTGCAACTTTCTCTTGACAATCCTATTATTGACCGAACATAAATTAGAAATGTTATTGACTTCTTTTATTAAAAAAAAATCCCTTACGCCTTTTCTTGACAGCGAGTGCATAAGTGCCCTAATCTTAGCCATCCGTGTATTTCAGCAAAATACATGTTGACATTTCAGTACCATGTTGTCATCAAGATCAGACAATTACTGGCAAAATATGGTTTTTAAACTGATGAGATGTAAATATGTGTATAGATGCACCGCGAGAAGGAAAAAGAAGGAATGGTATGACATAAGTAGATAAAAGGTACAAGGATTATAGTGCTACTTCAAAAGAATCTGTTATATATAGCGTCAAATGCTGAGGCAAATATCTTACACTTCGAATGTTCGATCCTCTCATGAATTCAACAGCTGCAAGACATCAAAAGCCGGGATATAGGTTGGTTTCTAGGTTTGGAATATATGTCTGGGGGCGACTGCTAGAAGTACACATTTGTCTATGTCCAGTATCAGCACCACGCCTGAATATACCAGGCCATGTGCGTGAACGTCGCTATGAATTACTCGCTACCTATATAAAGTCTTGGGGGCTGATACCCTTCACAGGTGTGGTCCGGGCGGCTGAAATATCACCACTTTAACCAAACTAATGGCTGCTGGTTACTTTGATGTGTAATGTGACATTAGTTTGTTTCAGGACATCAAAATGATCAACAAAACAAATTTACATATATACAAGCATGATATTTTATTGGTTGAAAGTTTACATATAACATGTAATATCAATCTATATGTAATTTGACAAAATAGATAGACGTCCTTGTGTACCTCACACTAAATAATCATTGCATTAATATCTGGGCAATTTGTAACATTACATATGCATGGAGTATTACAGGTATATCTGAATGAATGTTATGGGAAGCGGAGATTAAGCTCCATGGTCTGATGCCCAGGCCAGGCAACATGATGTTGCATGGCATGTAGGACACATTGTCTGTGTGGGTAGAGTTTGGGCAAGGGTAGCTGATAGATTGATCAACATCATGCAATTTGAGTAAGCTGACTTACTTGTATCAAACTTTCGCTAATTAATGACCGTGTTGATAACATGTATTAAAAAGCGTATTTATTACGGCTCCATTTTAACAGGCCTACCAACATCACCAAGTGAGCAGGTGATATGGAGCTGATTGATACTTCCACCAACATGAGCAGGTGATCTGCAGTTGATTGACAGAACTTCCATCATGAGCACGGGCTATGCATCTGATTGACAGAACTTCCATCATGAGCA